TAATTAAAATGCACAACAACAATAAAACAGTATTCAATGACAAACTAGTTTAAAAAACGTTATTAACAAAAACGAATAAGATGAGGCATGGCATAGGCCTACACGCTGTATTAGGCTATATAATGACTAATAAATTACAGAACGTTTAGCAAACACTGAGGAATCAAAAAAAAAAGAAAAAAAGAGAGAGAGCCTCCATAGCATAAGGTATGGAAGTCCGTTTCTATGGAAGCCCGTTTCCGCCAAAAAGGTAATTGCGACTTTTTAATCTCACAATTCTGACTTTTTTTTCCACAGAATTGTGAGATATAAACTCGCAATTGCGAGTTATAAAGTCAGATTTGCGAGATATAAAGTCAGAACTTTTACTTTTTTCCACAGAATTGTGAGATATAAATTCAGAATTGCCAGATATGAAGTCACAATTGCGAAATATAAACTCCGCAATTGCGAGTGAGAAAAAAAGTCAGAATTGCGAGAAAAAAAGTCAGAATTTGCGAGTTTTTATTTCTGGAAAAAGACTGATATGTTCTCAGAATTGCGAGTTTATATCACAATTCTGACTTTATAACTCGCAATTGCGAGTTTATATCTCTCAATTATGACTTTTTAACTCGAAATGTAACTCCAAAAACCCTTCTCTGCTTTAAGAAGCGGTCTTTTACTGTACTTAAGCGTGAAAACCATCAATATTCGCGTAATTTTTGCTGAGCGCACCTTCTGCAATTAATAGTAAATATAACCAAAACAGGTCATTATAATTTTTATATGAAAAATAAAATAAATATAAGGAAAACTCGCCCACTTGATTTTGTAATCTTTAATTTTGTAGTCCGTATGAAAAGGTGCATTTCTATTAAACGCACGTCCATGTGGAGATGGCGAGTCAGCGTCGGCATTCGGCAACCTCATCTTTGCACCCGACACTGACTCAGAAAGCGCTAGTTTATTAATAAATAATTAAAATGACTTCTTTTCCCCCGACACGTTCATAATCACTTTGCCGGTGCTTCGAGGCAATTGCTTTGTGGTCGAGCTTGAGCGCGAAATAGGCTCTAGCCTAATACGTCTGCCTACACTCTTAAAAATAAAGGTGCTTCAAAAGGTTCTTCAAGCGATGCCATAGAAGAACCATTTTTGGTTCCACAAAGAACCATTCAGTCAAAGGTTCTTTAAAGAACCATCTCTTTCTTACCTTTTTGTAATCTGAAGAACCTTCTTTCACCACAAAGAACCTTTTGTGAAACAGAAAGGTTCTTCAGATGTTAAAGGTTCTTTATGGAACCATTTAGACAATAAGGTTCTTCTATGGCATCGTGAAACACCTTTATTTTTAAGAGTGTATAGCCTATATTGAAATATGGCGCTTATAAATTATGTATTTAATAATTCATATATTATTTTATTAATCAATTTAATATAACGTGCGACTAGTTGACTAGACAAATCTTTAGTAGAGGGCAGGCCTATACTTAGCACAAGGAAGCTCTCCATTTTTAAAATAAAATGCTATAGCCTAATGACATTACGACAAGTGCGACAGCTGCAAATCACATCGTTATTGCACTGCACGAGTTATGCATGCATAAGGAGTCAAAAAACATTTTTTATCACCCTAATTAGATTATGAAGAATGATTTGTTGATCTTGTTTTCCCTTTAATACATAGCCTAGCTTCCGCAATATATTACTTTCAAAAAGTGGTAGGGACAATATCGACCCTGGCAAACCCGTTCTCATCAGTCTGCGTATAAATAACACGACTTTACACTTTCTAATTGCGTGTAATGCATACGCCAAATATCCTGCGGCCGCAGATGTGCTGAAGTTATTCAAAGCGAAGGCCTCTACACTTCTCATTTCTGACAGCTGTAACCCTCCAAAATTTTAGTTGTAATCTTTTGTGCTACTACTGTTCTCTAATTTTGATCACTGTGATATCCATAAAAAAATAAAGGTTTTTGTTGAAATGCCTTGGTTATTTTGTCAAACATATTCCTTCAAATTTTG